CCTGGGGGGCGCTTCCAAAAGCAGTTAAATCCCCACAGAAATGGAAAATTTCTGTTTGAGTTTCCCAGGAGGGATGGAAACAGGGAGGAAAATGGAGTAGGGGACGGGGAGGGGGGGATGTTGGCTAAAATACACCCCTCGTTAGTGCTGCCAGGTGTGCGGTGGGACCACCATCAGGTGTGTGTCCATGGCAGTGGTGCTGAGGAACCCTGGGGGGCACCATCCCTGGAGGTGTTCAAAAGATGGGTTGATGTGGTCTTCAAGAACATGGTTTAGTGGTTTTTTGGATTTTTTTTTCATTGCTTATTTCTTTTTTTTTTTTTTTGTCAGAGTTAGGTTGATGGTTGGATTAGATGACTTTGAAGGTCCCTTCCAACCAAGAGTTAGGTTGACAGTTGGATTAGATGACCTTGAAGGTCCCTTCCAACCTCAACGATTCTATGATTGTATGATTCTATGATAAAAGGAGCAGCTGGTCAATTTATAACCGGTCGTTCTCAAGTGAAGCAGCAGCAGAACAGTGAGATGGGGCTCAGCTGCCACCTCAGGGAGAGCAGGAAGAAATTCCTTACTGTGAGACCCTCACTGCCCAGGGATGGAGGGGCAGGTGGGAAACCACCACTGGCTTCCCCAGGGCTTGCCCCCCCGAGGGATGTCCCCCAGGGATGTGTCCGGGGGCAGCTCCCGGGGCAACTCTTCCTCTGGGTGAACACCTCCTCCAGGGAGCCCCAGCGGGAGTCGAGCCTGGAAAAGGCACTTTACATCCCAGCAAAGCGCCTGTAACTCTGGGCAGAGACTCGTGCATCTCGAAAATGCTGTTTCTCCCCACAGAGCACATTTTTGGGGAGCTTTCTGCTGTCTCTGGGCAACCAGACCTATCGGCTCTCGCTCTTCCTGCTGCTGTTCGAGATAGAATAGATTTGCTTTCTGTGGTTTCATCACAATCGTTCCACGGCCTCTTCAATGCTCTCTTGCAGTTTGCTTTTTCTTTTTTTAACATAGATTCTTTGCTGGTTTTGTTTATTTTTTTATTTATTTTTTTAACTGAGCACAAATTAGCTGATAAAGTTCGAAGCTCAGTGGCTCTGAGGCTGGATGGAGAGGTGTTACCTCCTTGGTGTGTGGGACTTGTGCCGGGAGCGGGGCTGCGGCGAGGGCTGAGCACCCAGAAAGCCCATTTCTCAGCAGCACCAGCACTGAGGTTCTTCAGCCTGGAGAAGAGAAGGCTCCGGGGAGACCTTCCAGCCCCTTCCAGTCCCTAAAGAAGGGGGGCTCCAGGAAAGCTGGGGAGGGACTCTGGATGAGGGAGGGGAGCCCTAGGAGGAGGGGGAAGGGTTGGACCCTGAAAGAGGGGAGATGGAGCTGAGATGTGGGGAAGAACTTGTTTGGTGGGAGGGTGGTGAGAGCCTGGCCCAGGTTGGCCAGAGAAGCTGTGGCTGCCCCATCCCTGGAGGGGTTCAAGGGCAGGTTGGAGGGGGCTTGGAGCAACCTGGTGTGGTAGGAGGTGTCCCTGCCCAGGGCAGGGGGTGGAATTAAATGATCTTCAAGGCCCCGTCCAACCCAAACCATTCTGTGATTCTCAGATTCCAGGATAAGGCGTGTTCCCGTGAGCCCCAGCTGCAGGAGAGGTTGATTTACACCATAAACAGGTCTCTGCCCTTGGGTCCCAAACACAGGGACACTTTACCCAGATCTCCTTTTTCCAGGAGAGTGTCCTCTCAGGACAGTAGCCAAGAAAAGTGAAAATTGCATGAAGTCTTTTCCTGTTTCTCTTCTGAAGTGTAAAAAAACCGAAGTAAGATAATGTGGCCAACGTGGCTACCAACATCCTGGCCCGTGTCAGGACCAGTGTGACCAGCAGGACTGGGGCAGTGACCGTCCCCCTGGACTGGGCACTGGTGAGGCCCCACTTCAAGTTCTGTGTCCAGTTTTGGGCCCCTCACAACAGGAAAGACCTTGAGGGGCTGGAGTGTGTCCAGGGAAGGGCAACGGAGCTGGTGAGGGGTCTGGAGCACAAGCCTTGTGAGGAGAGGCTGAGGGAGCTGGGGGTGTTCAGCCTGGAGAAAAGGAGGCTGAGGGGAGGCCTTCTCGCTCTCTCCAACTCCCTGAAAGGAGGGGGTAGCCAGGGGGGGTCAGTCTCTTCTCCCAAGGAACAGGCCATGGGACAAGAGGAAATGGCCTCAAGTTGTACCAGGGGAGGTTTAGGATGGATATTGAGGAAAAATTCTTCACCCAAAGGGCTGTGAAGCCTTGGCAGAGGCTGCCCAGGGCAGTGGTGGAGTCCCCATCCCTGGAGGGATTTCAAAGCCGGGCAGAGGTGGTGCTGAGGGACATGGGGCAGTGGGGGTTTGGGCAGTGCTGGGTTGGTGCTTGGACTCCATCATCTGAAAGGTCCCTTCCTACCCCGATCATTCTAGGTTCTATGTAAAGAACATTTGCTATGGGACACCCTTGGCCAGTTGTCCTGCCATGGTGTCTCAGGCAGGAGTGACCCAGGAAACGGAGACCGGCTTTTCTGCCGAGCGTTTATTCTGACGGATACAGCACACACTGGCTTGGTAACACAAACAAGCTGGTTTTTAAGGCAAACAATGATCTCAAAATCATTTCTCCACACACTACAGTTCCCACAACATCCCCGACAGAAGCACAACAGATTAACCCCAGTATGAGAAATGCTACTAATGTAGTGGAATTCAAATACATCACATAGAAGGCATCATTCAAGAAATGCAACAAAAACACACCTTCCCACTCAGAGACAAATGGGAAAGAAAAGCTTTCATTTAGGCTGAAGCTCTTTGAATTGATTTTTGAAAGTGCGTTCCTCCAGCCACGGCAACCCGGGCTGGCAAATAGTGCTTCAACTCCCTTTCTGTAAACAAATTAAAAGCAGACAGGGTTTTTTTCCCCCATGTTCTGGTATTTAAAGTAGCTTCTTCATATTCCTGCACCCAAGGATGGACAGAACTGCCTATTTCCAACTGTAAAAGTGTCCCCACAGGCTCTGCAAGTGCCACCACAACCAAGAAGGACTCAGTCCCGTGGCCAAGGTCACCCCGACATCTTTTACAAGCCACTGGGTTTGTTTATTTGTTTTAAAAAGCTAAAGTACATAAACCGAACAATACCCACTCTCTGAGCAGCACAATGGGCTTCTCGTATTCCAAAATAACTTAAAAAAAAAAGAAGGCATGAATCCTGCAAGGCACTTTCTCAAACAGAAGGAGGGTAATTTTAATTTCATTGTGTTCCCCCAGTGCTAATTAGTAAATGAAGGGGGATGAGCAGCCCCTCGACAGGCAGGCTCTGGCACAGCCCAGCAGCTCCCGGGGTCCCCCGGCCTGAGGGATGTGGGGAACCCGTAACCAAAAAAGGAATTGAGCTCATTAAATTGAAGAGGATGATGAGGACGGGTAAATGAAAGGCAGCGCCTCACGAAAGGTGCCGCTGTGCGTTCAGGCTGGCTCCTGGGCTAGAGTCAGAAATGAGCTTTTAGGTTGCACCACCCGGGCCAAATTAGATTTAAGTAACAGTGGCTTCTGCTGTCTGATTCATTATTTCTGATATGGAGACAAGAAATGAGACACAGCGGCAGCAGGACAAGGGAAGTGAGGAGCCAGTTTTGAGTAGTGACTTTTATAAACAAAGGAAGAGAAGTAAAAATAAAGGTTCTGTGCAAGAAATTCCGAGCAGATGCAGGAATTTGCCTTTAAGGCCCCTGAATTCGATACCCTATGGCACATGGCATATGGTGCACATCTATATGACATACTGTATTTTACTGGATTTGCATCCAATCTCACCCAAGAGGCCATGGAAGGGGAGGTGTTAGAGGCTGGCACCCACAAAAGGGTGAAGAAAACGAGGAAAAAATGTAGCCCTTTTAAAAATAAACTTCAGATGTGACCCAAATGGACTAGAACTCAGTTTTCTAATAAAACCTGAAAGTTACTTGGGGGAAAGATCTGACTAACCCACCTCTTCCAGTCTGCTTTATTTTAAAATTTCCCAAAGCTGCCATACCTCTCAAATTTGTCTTTCTGGAGGAAAGAAGAAATAAAGTATTTTTGGGTACTACTTTGACCATTTTGTAGGACATTTTAGTAACGAGGAAGTTTTGAGGGGCATTCCCGTCGCTTAAATACCACCTGATGTTCATTTTATTCCTGGACACGTCCATTTCCAACTAAAGCAACTCACACGAAAACAGTATTTTTGGCTTTGTAAACCTTTGCCATTAATCTACCGGAAGAAGAACATTTACTGCCTCTTACAACCTGTTTATCGCTCTCTCCGTCTGCCTCGAGCAGCTTTATGGTGCGCTTTGCAAACAGTCATCCTCCTCACGCCTGGGAATTTCACAGGCTGCTATTTAAAAATAAAATAAATCACAGATTTTTTTCCCTTGTGCTGTTTGTCCCGATGCTACATCCTCCTCCTCCTCCTCCTCTGCAGATGAGCTCATTTCGCATCCGCGCAGAATGAGTATTGATGGGGACAACTCCGTGTGTCACGAGACTGGTGCTCCCTCCAGGTCTCCAAAGGGTGATGTGCCACTGCTGGTACCACGCAGCCTCCTCAGCTTTCAACCACTGAAATCCAAATGAACGTCTCCTAACTCTGTCTTCCTTTAATCTTTGTATTTTTTGCCCCTTTCTCCCCTTGTCCCTCCAGAAAAAAAGGAGGAAGGAGGACTCTGAAGTAGATATTCTTAGTATTAAAATATATACAGGAGTGGGTCTCTTCAGTAATTTAACCTGTTGAATCTGCTCCAAGTGTTCTCTGATTGGAAAAATCATTTTTTCTACCTTAATGCAAGAAATTTCCCTCCAAAGTCTATTTCAGGCACACAAACCCTCCTGTCCTGCATCTCATGCAGAATATGCACGTTCTGCAGTTAGGAACGGCAAGAGCAACAGAATGCAGAAACAAAACCCATTCTTCTTTCTCTATTTGGTGATTTTTGGCACGGAATATGCACGTTCTGCAGTTAGGAACGGCACAACAGAATGCAGAAACAAAACCCATTCCTCCTTCTGTATGTGGGGATTTTTGGCACATTGGATAAATAATTCTTGGCACTAGGAGACCACTGAGCAGTCCCATTCCTGGCGATTTACGCAGAGGCAAACAGGCTACAGACACCCCAATTCACAGTAAAACTACTCCGTGGCCAAAGTAGGTCCCACACAAAGGGATCCGCGCTCCCTCAGGCCGTCGTCCGTCGGATTTCCTCCGACAAGGTGATGGACCTCTCCTTCCACTCGCTGTTGGAGCACTTGGAGACGGCGTTGGCCGCTTGACAGAACTTCTGGAGGAGGATCTTGCGGAGCAGCAGGTAAACCCAGGGGTCCAGGATCTGGTTGAGGGAGGCCAAACGCACGGCGGTCAGGAAGAAGTTGCATTCCTTGTGCAGTTCCGAGCTCTGGGCTTCCCAGGAGAATCCCCTGCAGTTTTCAAACGACGTGTGGCTGAAGATCATCTTCAGCATGGTTATCTGAGGGAAGTCAGGAGGAAAAAGCCGTGCACGTTAAAAGCCTGTTATCTGTACGTCACTGCGTGCACACTGCCAAAAAGTCCGTGTAGAAATGTTTTTCCTCCCTCACCCGATTCGAAGTGTGATCAGAGCAAATCTGTGAGCGCTGGGGGCAGCTCAGCTCTCGATGAGCGGTATCAGATTGATAAACACGATACCTTTCATCTACCATCACATTTATTTATAGATCTCATGCTGCAACCAGGCAGCACACGCTGCTCCCCAGCCTGAGCCACCACACAGAGCTGTGTGCTGCATCCGAGAGGTGCAGGACGGGCCTGGCTGGAAAGGGAAAGGACTGACCAGGCAAAATTAACTTAAAGGGACTCATTTTATCATTACCATGTTATTGCAATTACAAGGAGCAGCTGAATAACTCATGATGGGTAGAGCTCTTCAAAATTATGTTATGAACAGTAAATGTCAGAAAACAGAATTTGAAATACAAAAATGTCTTGTATTTTTAAAGTTGTTTTATTCTGTGACTTCTAAATGTTAGAATTTGATTTTAAGGTACGCTATTCTGCTTATGAACCAAGGCAAATTAAAAGAAAAAGGTTAATAAAGGTGTTTTGGGCTGTGAGTCAAGAAAACAGAAAACAAAGCTCTTTTTTTAGTCCAAAGCCACAGACTGCATTTGTGTTACCCCGACCTCGGTTCCCTCCTCTCCCCCCAGCTCAGCTCCCCGGGGAACAGAGGGATGGGATTAGGAATCTGCTTCCCACAGCATCCCCCCTGGAATGACCCAGGGACACTACTGACTCTGCAAAGGGCTCCACAGGAGTAGAAATGCCCGTAAGTGCTGTCTCCCCCACTTCCCAGCAGAGACCAGCAAGCTCTGGGCCGGGAGCCCAAAGCTACACGCAGGTTAATTTATTTTTTGGATTAAATGCAAGCAGGCGTGGCAGCATCTTAATTTATGACACTAGTTATGGAGCATTAGGGCTATCGGGGTCCTGCCAAGGGTATTACGTGGATGGCACATGTCAGAACATAACCACTGGCCAGCAACGGTCAGAATACTCAGAAAAGCCACAGAGGTGGCTTTGATTAATACTTTCACCCCAAAAATCTGTACTTTAAGGTAATTTATCGCTCACATTTCAAAGTGTCAGCGATAATCTGTGCTGTTGGTACGGTACTGTTGTTAGTAGGGGGGGACCCAATTCTGTGATTTCTCTTACGGGTTGCTACAAGGCTTACTATTTTTAAAAAAGGCTTATACACTGAAGGCTGCCCTATAATGATCCAATCAACAAAAATAACAATATTTAGTACGTCCTCATTTTCCAAATGAAGACCTAAAGTTGCTTTACAGCTATCGATGCCATGAGCCTTGAAGCACAAGGACACCTTCACTCTCATGTTACAGACCAGAGAGGCAAGAAGGATGTCACCAAGGGCTGCCCTGGAGCCCTGGCACTGCCGAGGAGCCCGGCCAGGGTCCCCTCTGTGGTGCTCTCATATACTAACAAATAACCATGGGAAATACCAACCACATTTGGAAAGATGTCAGATGAATATAATTTTCCATGGCCTAATTAGTATCTGTTGTCCAAAAATTTCTCCTGAGCTTTCTGTACCAACTACAGCTGCTTAAAGATATATCACTTCAGAGGCATTTGTTGTCTCTTTGCAGATCAGCTACATTGGATCTTGTATTGTAATGTTTTTTCCCATAAAAACCTCTCTGTGAAGGCACTTGGTGTGCACCTTACTGCCAAAAGACTATGATGGGGAAAACACCCGTGTTCTTACACCCGGCTGCGATGCAGAGTGAAGCTCTCAGGTGCTTCAGAGCAAGGAAAAGGGCAGAGCTGATGTGAGGATGTCAGGGAAGTGCAAGCTGCCTCCTCGCAGGGTGGACCTGTTGCTTGGGGTGCCAGGTGTAGGTCCTGTGTGCCACACTCCAGCCTCTGAGCCCTATGGAACACCTCACTTCTCCTGCACACGTCCTTTTTCTGCTTGCAAATCTCTTCCTGAAGACCTTGATGGTCTGAATTTGCTGTCTGGAAATCATGCAGGGTTGAGGTGCAGCAGGTCTGTGCGTTTTGATGTGACAAGGCGATGGATGCCCTCACACACGGGCTCTGATGCACAGCTAATTCACCGGTTCCTGGTACCAGCCACTAAACAAACTGGTGGCCAGTCCTGGAAACAGCCCGAGGGACGAGGCTTGCAGTTACTCATCCACAGCCCTCTCCAACATCTTGACTTCAGCCTCTGGAAAGCAGCGAGACACTCCACACCAGCAGCACCGCGAGCCGCGCGATCCCAGCCCCAGCTTTCCCACAGCAGAGGTCCCATCTGGGCTGCTGCTGTCCCCAGAAACTGGGGCGGTGTCACAGCAAGTGACCAGGAGCAGAGGCTACGGGGGAGGATTTTTCCATTCAAGAGGATATTCTGGGTGCCAGATCAATACCATGTGTTGACCTTGGAAAGACTCGGAGGAGGCCGGAAGGCAGGGCAGCTCGGCAGCAAAGCACCATTGGTTTTGTTTCTTTAAATAGAAGCACTTGAGGGTTCCAGCCACTACATTTCATTTAAATAAAAATGAAAATAAGTACCCATTGGTAGAGCTTTTTAAAAAAAGGGGTGGATAAAGATCTAGACCACACCAAACAGCCGCTTGTGCAGCGGAGCCACAACCGCTTCCTCTGCCACCTCCAGCTGCTTGGGACACTGTCCCTGCCCCACCAGAGCCCAGCAGCATCCCCCTGCCACATCCTTACGTGGTAGCACCACACAAATATGCTGTCCCCACCTTACAGCTGCTGGAAAACCACACCACGTTTGGCATTCCCAGTATTCCCATTACTTCCTCCCAGACCAGACTCTGCTGTCTCGCTCTTTTGCTAGCAAACCCACTGAGCTTCAAAAATACCAGGCTAGTAAAATACATTTTCCAAGCAGACAACTGCTGCTTATTTTGGGGTTTTATTACATAATATTCCTTTACTGGAATACTTGTTGGACCAGCAATTGCTCTACTGGAAATTTTATTTGGTTGATATCCTTAGAGGCTGTTCATCGTGGCCTGAGCTGCTCTTCTAAACAAATTAAAAGAAAGACTGCAAAAAGGTAGAGAAACAGCATCAGGTAAAATTTGGCATTCCCAGTATTCCCATTACTTCCTCCCAGACCAGACTCTGCTGTCTCGCTCTTTTGCTAGCAAACCCACTGAGCTTCAAAAATACCAGGCTAGTAAAATACATTTTCCAAGCAGACAACTGCTGCTTATTTTGGGGTTTTATTACATAATATTCCTTTACTGGAATACTTGTTGGACCAGCAATTGCTCTACTGGAAATTTTATTTGGTTGATATCCTTAGAGGCTGTTCATCGTGGCCTGAGCTGCTCTTCTAAACAAATTAAAAGAAAGACTGCAAAAAGGTAGAGAAACAGCATCAGGTAAAATAAAGCCAATGAAACTACACAATTTATGCCAATAAAAAAATATGGCTCGAAATGCATATAGTAAAGCAGCTGATCATTGTATTTATTCAAATAGTAGATAAAACTTTACTGTTAGCACTGAATGTAGTTTTATACTAACATTAAACCTTCACCGCCCTGGTTTTCAAACGTACAACCAAAGAGAAGACAGGGTTTGGGTGGTATCTGCACAGTGTTTGGAGTGAATTTGGATGGTGGCACCCAAGACCTTTTTGGGGTTGTTCCACAGGCTCCAGTTTGGCATTCCCAGTATTCCCATTACTTCCTCCCAGATCAGACTCTGCTGTCTCGCTCTTTTGCTAGCAAACCCACTGAGCTTCAAAAATACCAGGCTAATAAAACACATTTTCCAAGCAGACAACTGCTGCTTATTTTGGGGTTTTATTACATAATATTCCTTTACTGGAATACTTGTTGGACCAGCAATTGCTCTACTGGAAATTTTATTTGGTTGATATCCTTAGAGGCTGTTCATCGTGGCCTGAGCCGCTCTTCTAAACGAATTAAAAGAAAGACTGCAAAAGGTAGAGAAACAGCATCAGGTAGAATAAAGCCAATGAAACTACACAATTTATGCCAATAAAAAAATATGGCTCGAAATGCATATAGTAAAGCAGCTGATCATTGTATTTATTCAAATAGTAGATAAAACTTTACTGTTAGCACTGAATGTAGTTTTATACTAATATTAAACCTTCACCGCCCTGGTTTTCAAATGTACAACCAAAGAGAAGATGGGGTTTGGGTGGTATCTGCAGTGTTTGGAGTGAATTTGGATGGTGGCACCCAAGACCTTTTTGGGGTTGTTCCACAGGCTCCAGCTGCAGCCACCCCTGTGATAGATCACCACTGGCTCAACATGGGCAGCTTGTGACACCTCGGGGACTCCCCGGCACCTCCCTGTTACATTGCTAAGTGTTTGGAATGAACTTCCATTGCAGTTAGGGGGAAAAAAAAAAAAAAAAAAAAAAAGACAAAAACTTTGCCAAAGATATTTTTCCAGCAGAAACTGCTGCTATCTGCAGTAACAGATGGTGAACAAACCAGGATGTGTTTGCAGAAGGATAATCACGCCGGGAACCACGGCAGGGTCCCATCAAAGTCTAGCGGGATTCCAACATAATGGGGTCTGATTTTTTTGTGGCCTTGTTTTGTGACAAATACAGTCCAGCAAAACCCAGTCTTTTGGCCAAACTGGAACAATCAATGTGGTCCTGAAGGCAGTGGCTGTTCCAGCCTCAGATGGAAGCACAGCACTAGCGGGAAGAGCCACTGATTCACAGAAAAGGAGCCAGCTATTTTCCTGGCAGCTCAGTGGTATCACTATCATTTTTTCTAAATAAAGGTGTTTTCTATAACTATGTTTTGCATACCTAAAAATATTACTAAAGATTATATTTAAAAAAAAAATACCTGTAAAGGAGACTGAATTTAACTTCTGTCTGAAGGGTTTAGGCGGAGTATTTCAATAGGAAAAGCAGCAGAACCCCTGAGCATTTTGGCTTTAAATAGCCTTGAAACAACTCCATGAGTGAATAATTTCATAGCCTGGAGCTCTAAAGGAATTATAATGAGAATTCCAGTTTGTGCTGCACTGGTGTCTCTGTGCAATCAGGGAACTGATTGATTGATTGAAAAATCAAATGCAATCCTCTGTCTTACCTTAGGCTCATTTCAATCTGCTGTCACTTCAGTTCAATGGTTATGCTCCACAGCTGAGCACCAAAATAAATAGAAGCTTGACCTGAACTGGAAACCACTTATGCTAAAGCATTAACTTATTTAAGGGGAGCATTTTCCCAGGTCCTCCGTGCTGAATTCACGTAAGATCCCAAGTGCACAACAGGAGAGAAGGCCTGTGTTACGTATGCACTGCTCTACCAAATCCAGCACAGATCAAGGAAACGCAGGACACTTCATTAAGCCCTTTAGAGCACAGCCACTACCCTCCCAAGTTCCACTGTTCTGTTAAATCACATTCGATTTTGTCACTTTCACCAACGGATCAAGTCTAAAAATACTGTCTGTGTAAAAGGGCATTGTTTACCTAATAGTGACAGTTGTCAGAATCCATTAGTTCTCAGCTGTAAAACTAAGATTGAAAAAAAAAAAACAAACCCAAACGAATAAAAATCTCCTCTGAAAATGGATTCCTGTTTCAGCTAAATTTCTTACAACTGCTACATGATGCAGCTACAGGTTAAATGAGTTCCACAACCTGGCTTTCACTGAAAATGTCACTCCCCCAAAAATCTGACTGCTGATTCCCAATTCCCACCGTTGTAGCTGGAGGGAAAACGCTGCAGTGCATGTACAGACGTGCTCCTGCAGCCACGGCTCTTGATTTCAAGAACACGAAGCCTGGAGAACACGCTGACCCGAGAGAGCAGCTTTGCACAACTCCACACAACACGTTACAGGCTTCCAAGCGTGACAGCAGCACGGGGAAGGGAGCTGCTGCTGGAGTCACTCTGGGTTGCAGCTGTGTCACCCCGTGGGGCAGCAGCCCCCCACACCATGGCAGAATGCCTGCAGAGGGCTGCTGGCCAGGCCTCCCTCCAGCTGGCCCTGCCTGGGGCTCACGGCGTCAGGCTCCTCGCCAGGGAGGCAGCTGACCTTCTGTCAAAACATACCACGGGAAGCAACCCCCCAAGTGGATCCCTGATTTTTCTGAGTACTTTGCAGAGGGCTGCTGGCCAGGCCTCCCTCCAGCTGGCCCTGCCTGGGGCTCACAGCGTCCGGCTCCTCGCCAGGGAGGCAGCTGACCTTCCGTCAAAACATGCCACGGGAAGCAACCCCCCAAGTGGGATCCCTGTTTTTTCTGAGCACTCAGGTTCTGAAGGAAGAGAAAAGGCGTCCCTCATCTCAGGGGTTTGCTCTCAAAGCTACAAGGACTGTTGAACCCTCAGGTTTGGCTCCATGGCACCAGGCTGGGTCCTGCCACCTTGAAGGGCAGAGCAGAACCCGCATCCCAACACAAGGGCTACAACAGCGAGGGCTGAGGGGCAAACGTTCCTCCTTCATTTAAAAACTGTCTGCTAATTTTTTCATCTGTTTAATTACAGACAAACATGCAACAGTTAACTTCTGTAAAATAACGAAATCCTGGTGTCTCCCCTTGGGATCTAACAGCCCCCATAAGGTACCGGTGAGCCCAGGTGTTGGGGCTACTGGCCACCAGTGCACAGGGACACAGAAACAGCCGTTTCTGTAACACAGCACGTTGAACACTTCTTGGCATTTGAGGAGCAGAACATCACTGCTTGCTCTCAAGTTCTCACCAATTTTTCAGCGTTTTCTTTCGTCACAAGCTGTTAATGATCTCTAGAAAGTTAGCTTACAGCCTCTGACTTATAGTTTTGCAGATTTCATGGCATGTTAACTAATTTACAAGGAAACTATTGCTAGATTAATTTGTTTTTTTTCTTTCTATTTTTACCTCCTCCCCCATCGGCCATTAGCTTTTCTCTTGCCACAGCCCCATGAACAAGAGCACAGGAAGGAAGAAAAAATCCTTCTCCGGCCACAAAATAGCTTTCACCTGAGTTCCAAACGACCACAGGCAGCTTCAGCCCTTTCCCGCTCAGGGATCCCAAGTGCAAACTTTCTAAAAATCATCCTCTGACAGCAGAACGAGCTGAGTGTTTTCAGCTGGGCTGCCCGACTCCCACATGGCAGAAAGGGACAGAGATTCAGCTGCCTCCACTCCTAAACCATGAGGGTTTTACCCCAGTGGGACAGGAAGGGCTGTAAGAGGAGTAACAGCATAGTGGAAAGAAATGCAAGCGTCCTTTAAAAAAAACACACCCAGGAACAAAAAGCCCTGAACGCTGCTGTAAATAACACAGCAATCTGCTAAAAACCAGAGGGCACTCGCAGAGTCAAAAGCTGTACCTTTTCTCACAAAGCACCAAACAAGGTGGAAGCAAGCAATGGTAAATGGCCACTTCCCACACGCACAGGGCTCCTTCACAGTGAGGTCTCAATAAACTTCCCCACAGGTCCCCCCAAATGAGGAACAAGCAGGCTGTGGTTCCCCTTGTTCCCCTCACTTTCAGACCCCTGTGGTGGTGGCCAGCAGGTAAAATGTGCCAGGCTGACGTCCTGCTGGTGCCAGCCATTCCCTGCCCTGCAAACCTGCCCCTTCTCTGCCCACTGCAGAGCTGTGTCCTGCTCCTGAACCCACCAGCTTCTCGTGTCCTACCTTTCTCCTCTGTACTCCTCTTTGTTTTCCTCATCATCCCTTGTCTTCCTCGTCCTTCCTCTTCACTCTGGTTCCTTGGTCTTATTTTTCCAATTACACTGCACTTTAGCTATGCTCTTGGACCTCATAGAGTCATAGAATGGTTTGGGTTGGAAGGGAGCTTAAAGCCCTCCTGTGCCACCCCCTGCCCTGGGCAGGGACACCTCCCACCACACCAGGTTGTTCCAAGCCCCCTCCAACCTGGCCTTGAACCCCTCCAGGGATGGGGCAGCCACAGCTTCTCGGGGCAACCTGGGCCAGGCTCTCACCACCCTCACAGCAAAGAATTTCTTCCTAATAATAGAATCACAGAATGGCTTGGGTTGGAAGGGACCTTAAAGATCATCTAGTTCCACCTCCCAGCTTCTCTCCTACCAGCCTTCCATCCCTGACATCCTCCAGGCTCCATCCCTGTCCCTGCTGTCTCTCCTCAGCAGCCATTCATGGCCATACCATCCATGAGGAATCAGAACCACCAAGTGCCTCCCACCCAGCCCCAGCCAGCCGCTCTGGGGGCCAGCCTGCCCCCAGGGAAGGAGGGAGAAGGCTGGGGGCGACCCATGGTGGGTGACAAAGTGACCTACCAGCAGCGGTGACCAGCAGGCCGAGAGGACACACATGATCCCCAAGAGCTGGATCAGTGTCTCCATGGCAATCCGTCCCCACTGCTTGCTGGAGCGCGTCGTGGTGGCTTTGGTCCGACAACGAGACACCAAGGCCTCAATGGTGGCCAGGTTGCAGGCCAGCGTCACCACCAGGGAGAGGAGCCCCAGGACGGTGAAGGTGGAGGCGAAGAAGAGGCTGCCGGTGAGCTGTCTGTCACTGGTGCTGATGAAGCACCAAGTACCCGGCCACTGCAGCGTGTACTGGCCCAGGCCGGCGATGGGCAGCAGGGCAAAGGCGACCACGGCCAGCCAGATGCCCAGCAGCACCATCTTGGTCACCCGCGTCTTCATGTGGCTGGCGTACCAGTGGGGCGCGCGGATGGCCAGCGTCCTCTCCACGGCCATGGCGCTGGCGATGAAGAGCGGGCAGAGCCCAAAGACGGTCATGCTGAAGCCAAAGAAGGAGCAGAGGTGGCCCGAGGGGTCGACGGCCTCCCAGGTGCGGTCGGACAGGTAGACGGAGATGACGATGGGGCTGGTCAGCAGCTGCCCCAGCAGGTCGGTGATGGCCAGGGAGCCGATGCACAGCAGGAAGGACCGCTTCCTCCGGCTCCCCTTGGCCCGGTAGCTGCGGGAAACCAGCAGCATGGCCAGGGCATTGCCCACGATGCCCGTGATCATCATGGTCAGCGGGAACGCCACCGACACCGAGCTGCAGCCCTCCGCCGCCCGCCCCGTCCCGTTGCCCCGCTGCCGCATGGCGCCGGGCTCCGTGCCGTTGGGGCCGCCCTGGCACTGCCGGCTCATCCCGGCGGGCTACCGCGGCGGCGGGGGCGGCGGAGGGGAGGCGAGGGGCTCTCCCATTGCGGCCGGCAGCGCTGAGACAAACCGCGGCCGGGACGAGCCCTAATAAGGCGGGGGGCGGGCGGAGGAGGCCGGCCCGGCCCGCTCTGAGGGGAGGGAGGAGGGCGGTGCGGCACCGCCTCGGCCCCGCCGGCCCGCGGGGCTCCGGCTCTCTCCCGCCTTGGAAACGGCTCCCTCAGGCGGTGCGGCAGGTGCCATGGCGAGCACGGCTCCCCGACGGGCTCCATAGCGGGCACGGCTCCCCTCAGGGTGCCCACCAGGCGCCATGGCGGGCACGGCTCCCGCAGGGTGCCATGGCGGGTAAGGCTCCCCTCAGGTGGGCCGACGGGCACCATAGCGGGCATGGCTCCCCTCAGGTGGCTCATAGGATGCCATGGCGAGCACGGCTCCTGTCAGGCTGCCCGAGGGGTACCATGGTGGGCACGGCTCCCCTCAGGTGGGCTGACGGGCACCATGGCAGGCATGGGTTCTCTCAGGCGGCCCAAAGGGTGCCATGGCGGGCATGGCTCTCTCAGGTTGCCCACCAGGCGCCATGGCTCCCCTCAGGCTGCCCAGGGAGCATCATGGTGGACACAGCTCCCCTCAGGGTGCCATGGCGGGCATGGGTCCCCTCAGGCTGCCTGAGGGGCACCAGAGCGGGCACAACTCCCTTCAGACAGCCCATGGGGTTCCATGGTGGACACAGCTCCCCTCAGGTGGGATGATGGGTGCCATGGCGGGCACGGCTCCCCTCAGCCTGCCCACAGGGAGCCATGGTGGGCACGGCTCCCCTCAGGGAGCCATGGTAGGGGAACCGGGCAGCATGGGGCTGGGCCTTGCTACCTAGCTGGAAGCTGAACTGCTACCAAGCCGGTAAAATTCCTACGAGCAGGGATTCCTAATGTGGCACTATATACACTCATCCTTCACATGAGAGCAGAGTTAACAGTTCTAAGAAGTTGTTTTAGGGGTTAAAAGCGCTATTAGCAACGCACAGGTTGAAATACTGCCCAGCCTGGGTTTCACTCTGTATGATTAAGCGCACACAGGCTGAACCATGAAAGGGGAAGAGCCCCATTTCTCATAAATAAGAGCCATACGAGAAGTTACGGCTGGCTTTATGAATTATTGAGCCATGGCTCATTAATTCTCTACTTTCTAGACCATGAACAGCAACTTGTCCTTGAAGGACTCCAGCCTTTACCTGTGCAGATACACAGCAGGACGGCATTTGCAAGCGGAGTCCAGTACTGGAAACGATATTCACATTAAACTGGGATGTACAAAGCCTCAAGAAAAAGCCTGGAAAAGGGTGAGAGAAAATATCCTTTCTCCCTTTTTTAATCCTGACATTGAGATGCACTGGTTTGGAGCCACCATGAGTTCAGTACAGCTCTGCTGTGCCCTCCTCATCATCTGGAAAGCTTTTGTTGCCCCCACTTGGTACCCTGCTGGTATTTGTCATTTTGCAGTGGGAACGGTCCCTAGTGGTCCCCAGTTATTTCTGGTCTGGGTCCACAACTACCCTATGAGAAATCAATATTAGTTCCATTTTCCAAAGTACGAAGTACTCTACAAACTTTCTTTTTTAAAATGCACATGCAAACCACTTCTTCTGAAGTGGCTTTCTTTTTTAATTTCCATAATGGGAAGACACATGGTTAGTAAATTGTGCAGGACTTTGCTTAAAGCTGTTGTCATAACTGCACTGTTACAGGAGCATTATTCCCTCCTGGCACTCCCGTGTCCAAATTTTGGAAAAGTTTGCACAAGTATCTATACCTCCATACTTAAAAAAACCCAACAAGCCCAAAAAACCACACTATTAGCTGTTATTTCTGATTAAAGAACAAAAAAACCCCACCCTGTATGTTAAAGGATTTCCAGACAGAAAATTGTATGACCAGTGAAACATTTTGATTAGTGCTCCAATAGCTATGGAATTGATTACAGTAATTAGCTGGAGAGCTTCTTCCCCAGCAGCAGGATCCTGGGCAGAGGAACTTCCCACAGATGAGAGGGTGCAGATTTCTAGGCAAAACAGCCAACTTTCAGTTCATTGTAACTGCGTTTAAGCTCAGGGGGTTACTGAGAAGCAAGACCTAACACAGCGACTATTTAATCTCGGGTGCTTCGTCACAGTGAGCACACAGGAGTTTGTTATCTGGTGTGGAAATGATGCAATCTTGTGTCAAGATGGGCTAGCATAGGTAATAATAAAAAGCATTAAAATGCCCATCTGAAGAAAAAAACCACATTTTTCAGCTGTGTTTACTCTGTTGCCAAATTTATATAAAATCAAAGCATAGTCTGCTTTTGCTTAGAGTCACTTTCTAGTTTTCAAGCCCAAGAATGCTTTGCAAAACCACCGTTATTAGTCACGAACGTGTTCAGCTTTTCTCAGAAAAGAACATGAGCCCTAAACTTAACCATGCTTCCTCCTTGGTCATGAGAAATGTCACTGATCTTTGATAAAGCTGCAGAGAAATGCCTGTTTACTTCTATAGGCAGCGATTTATCTGGCCCCAGAGATGAAACTGAGGCCAAGGGAAGTATTTTCTAGTCAAACAGGGAAATGTACTGGGAAGCTACTGGAGATAATCTCCCCCAAATGCCCTCCCACCCTAAACCCACACCTTTCTGCTGCTTGAGCTTAATCTACACGGACCGGTTTTGGTTCTAATAGTTTAGTTCTACTTTATTTGCTGATTCAGTCATGAAAAAAAAGAGATAATTTGTGTCATGCCAGATGTACAGGGACTGCCACGGTCGCTGCGCCTTTGCATTTTAAAATGAAGGAATCAAAACAATTTAAACATCCTGCTTCTTGTAAAAACTTTCTGAAAAGATATGGAACCCACACAGAAGAAAACACCTCCAAGTTTTGTAAAAGCTCCTTTTTAACCCGCTGCTGTTTAAATCAAAAAAATTTTTTCAGTACTTTAAGAAGAGAAACAAGGGGAACACTGATAACAGGTACAGCCAGGTAATTGGAGATACTGCCCTTCTCCCACCGCGGTGACACAGATCATCACAATCTGTTAGTACAGGCTAAAGCAAGAGATTTGCTGGAGTTTCCAAGAGAAAGCACTCACTGCACGGTTGACTCACAGGTTTTATTTACACTTGTCTACAGAATCATTTTGCCGTACATTTTATCTAAGCCAAATGAAACCATAATTTTCTTTTGTCTGTCACCTATCGTTTGCTAAATTTAAAAACTTTCATCTGTTAAGTACAGCAACAATTTTAATACAAAGCACAAGGAAAAAACCCCAAAGGCTAACAACATAGCATCTATTAGATCGGATTTTTACAATTTAGTAGTTGGACTTGGACGTTGTCAGAGGCACAGTTACAAGACTAACCTGCTCTTGTGCAACCTACACACATTTAGCATTGAAATTAGCTATAAAAGAAAGCATTAAAGAAGAAACTGCAGAGCGGGTTGTTGGTTTTTTTTCTGCAAAAAGATTATCAAAATATTTCAACACCAAAAAACATTTTGCTTATATTCCATATACCAGTCCAAAAGAAGTGTCTTAAAAAAAAAAAAAAGGAAAGCAGAATGTAATTTTTAAATTTTGCTCCGTTTGTTTTTGTGCAGTTCGTTTAAAAAAGCAGCGGTCAAATATGGAAGTTTTACTGCTGAAATCAATAGAGATCTATTGCTGTTTGCTTGCTTAAAAAGAAGAATTTTCCTTACCATACTTACCTTGCGATGGCACTGAAGAGACTTAACCCTTTCTTAACCAAACGGAGCTCAAGAGAGACCAAGTTTAATGCAATATTGCTAGTAAATCACATTCAATACAGCATTTTAAGCCATAAATTATATTTAAGGGAAAAAAAGAATGACTGGTGAAGAACACATTTCAGCTGTCAGAACTTTCTACACAGTTTATTAATTTTCATTTTCAAATATAAATAAAATTCAGATACCTGGAAAATTTTAAGTCAGCCCCAAAATGAACTCTACAGGTGGCCTGCAGGAGCGTCACTTGATTCCAAGCAGCTACTTCCATATTCCTCCAGCTCAAGGGCGGTTCCTATGGGATGCTCTGCCCAGAAAGGACAGCAGAGCCCGGGGTCCCTGCGTGGGACAGTCCCCACTCCGCTGAGGGCAGCAAATCCTTCCTACAGTGACGGGCACAGGAGCAGAGAGTGCCCAACGTCTCCAACATCCCTGCTTGGAAGGAATGGAGTCCAATTCAAGCTCTACAGAACCCTGCCAGGGTACCTAATAGCTATTCTGCACCGAGCATGGCTAGAGAAAGAGAGGAATCCAGCTACACTTGCAAATAAAAAAAAAAAATCATTGGACCTAAGCACTCACTACTGTCACCTGAGGGGTAGCACCAGCCCTACAGCTACACCCTTCTGTCGTGGTCCCACGGGAGCTGCAGCACGAAGCGCAGGAGTTGGGTGCGGAAAGCTCAGGGGTTCTGTATTCCCAATACTCCTCTGAACTCCTCCCAGGAAGAGCAGAGTTATCAGATCACACCCGACCTGTGCCCGCTCACGGGTGTAAGAGAGCAGGGAATCGAGTAACTGAGTCTTTCAAAATAATAAAAAAACCCCTTACTCAAATAAGAAAACTTCACAACCTCCTCTGGGGGGGGTTTATGGCTTAAAATGCTACCTCACTTTTTGTTTGATGAATGAACAAAGCTGCAGTTTTCCAGAAAGCAAGGACAGACATGCACCTCTACTAGCAGATTCAGCACTTCTGACCAAGTAAGACACCAACTTCTTAAAAATGTCTCATGCACTGACTGGATTTTTTTTTTTGTTTTGTTGGTTGTTTTGTTTTTTTTAATGTGAGCTTTAATACATTATTTCTTTTTAGAACTTGTACGGGAACCAGAATGGGAAGATCCAGATGATGATCTGCGGCGTCTGCAAGATATAAATGGAGAAAGCATGCAAAGAAATAAGTTGCAATTAATTTTAGCATCCACTTTGAGCAGTCTGTATCATACAATAGCTGGAAGCCAAGTATATCTGATAGGGGCCTTATAAGAATATAGAAATAACTTTAAACCACTTTAAGCTCAGGAATGTAAATTTAATACTAAAAACTTAAGTTTAATACTGAAAGTAGGGTACAATTTCTAAACGCAATCTTTACTTATGCAAATAAATCACTAATGTACATGCTAATGCTTTCAGACACTGAAAGACCCAGGTCTTTCTACAGAACATACTTCTACCAGGAGGAAAATTCATTGCAGGGACTGGGAGGGGGAAACAATTACAGAGGTTTAAATAGGGATTAAGAGTAGGGAAAGTGAGCAAACTACTTTTAATATCAGAGTAACTGATCAGATTCAATTCTTTCCCAGTGAATCTCAGTCCTTCAGAAAAAAAATAAATAAAAAAAAATCACACATTTAAATACACCCATTCTTATTCTACATAAACCCAAACCTTTCGGGTGACCGTGATCTCGATCGTCTTTTTTTGCGATCACCAGATGAAGAAGATCTAGAACGACTTCGCTTCTTGCTTCTCTCGGGGGAAGATGACGAACGAGAGCTTGAGTAAGACCTTTTTCTTGGGGTGGAAGACCCCCTGTAGGACCTGGAGCTGGATCTTTATTGATTAAGAAATAAATCAGATTTAATTCTGGTATAACATAGCACAAACAAAGAAAGAACAAAGAGAGACAGTTTTCCTGAACGCTCACTACTATACTTCCATCAGGGTTTTATCAGATAAATCTGTGGGTGCTTTAATACTTACTCCTTAGTTATCTGCCAATAAAGACTTCTACTGCCGAGGTAATTCTCTTAATAAATTTTGCTAAAATAGTGTTCCTTGCTGTCCAGCCCACCAGTGGCTTAGAAAGCTCTTTCCAGCATTTACCAGAACGAAGCTTTTTGGCAAGGGAGTGCTGGGAGACGAGGATGGGAAGCAGCCTGTGTAAGGACCTTCCTCACACAGCACAATGGCTTGAAACCGCACATTAATGGCTATTTCACATTGGGAATTTGTAAAGTAGCAGCTGTCTTGCTAGAACAGTAAAAACCCTCAGAAGGTGTATTTACAAATCTCGAATCTGGGTGGAGTGTAAGACCTCCCACAAGCAAAATATTCTTAAAAAGCCTCTTAGAATACAGTCACTTTGGCATTTAAAAAAAAAAATTAACCAGCTTCACTTACAAGCACTCAAAAATCTCTTGGGTTATCTAAAACAACCAAGCAAAAAACACTTGTGGAAAAAGTAATAGGGCTAAGAAGTCCTAAACTGTAATTCCAAAATTCTGTCCAAACAACTAATGGGACATTTTTCAGTGATAGATATTTTAAATGAAACACCCAACACCACAGTGGATGTTGGTGGTAGAATATTTTCAGGCTTCTCATCATAAATAACAAAAACGCTCTTATTTTGCACCAGCAAATAACCCAGCTCACTAATGGGACATTTTTCAGTGATAGATATTTTAAATGAAACACCCAACACCACAGTGGATGTTGGTGGTAGAATATTTTCAGGCTTCTCATCATAAATAACAAAAACGCTCTTATTTTGCACCAGCAGCACCAGCAAATAACCCAGCTTGGCTGACGAGTCCCTCCAGCATCTACTGGGGGCACAAGCCCCTTCTTCCTCAAAACCCCTGGATTCTACCTGGCACTGGCCCTGGCATGATAACCCACAGCACGTTTCTGCCACCAACAGGTCTTCCCAGCTCAAACTCCCTTCTTCACAGCTTTAAACCTCTCTGTTCTTCCTTCCATGGCAAAGGGAAGTCCTGCCACCGGGGTGCCTGTGCCAGGGCACCCCAAGGAATGATCTTCTTACTCTTCCCTGCACAGCTCAATAACCACTCTAAAAACCCACCAGCCACCTCAAACTCCTGTCAGCTTCTCACCCAGTTTACTATCAACATTTTTATACATTGATAAAGGTGATGGCAGCTCTGTCTGCTGCAAGTTAGACACATTCAATAGGTTATCACTAATGCCAAACCAGAAGAGAGTGCATTTTCTAACGTTCTCATCGAGTAGCCCGAGCTGAAACGGTCAAACCAGCACAAATGAGTGAAGCAAGCAAACATGCATTCAAATCCTTCTTCCTTCCCAGCGAGGATGTGGCGTCCGCTCATCTGTCTACCTCAGGTCAGACTCAAACTCTTCAACCAAAACCTCGCATTCTCAAGAAACACATCTGTGGTGGCAACAACCTCGCGCGGAGCCCCCGGGAATTCTGACTTCCAAGATAAAAACGAGTTAATGGCTTTTGACCGGCACAATTTTATGATGAAATCGACAAGCGCTTGGTTCTTCTGCCCTTGTTTTTTTTTCCTCTCTGCAAGGAGAGAGCGCTACCTCATTCACCTTGATTTCGACCCACGAGATCTAGAGTGCTCTCTGGAACTGGAGCGAGATCTTGATCTGGAACTGGAAGAACTTCTTGAATGGGACCTGAAACAACATGGAAGATAATTTTTTTTTCCAGTGTCTGACTTGCATTTAGCAGAAAAACTGCTGCTGTTGGCAGCAGAGACGGTGACGCACACCACCACCTCGCCCAGAGTCACTACAGAAGTGACCATTTCCTCCTACCCCCCCAGCATCACTGTAGCACAATTTAAACCAAAAACATTAACATAGTAAGATGCTGCATTAAAAAAATATTTCTAAAGTCAGCTTTTTATTACGTTTCCTAAAACAGAGCACAAAAATCAAGCAGGACTGCAGTTACTTGGCAAACTGCAACAACTGCCTATCTGTGACCCACTTCATGAAATCAATGCCTTCGCTTTTCATTTGTGCTTTAACTTAAAACCCATCCACTCCTTTGCAGAGCAGAGCAGGGAAGAGGCTCAGACCCAGCCAGCTCAAATCGCCCCCAAGTCAGCTCACGCAAGCGTTTAGCATTTTGAAAGCACTTTCAAGTTTTTGTAAAGATTTTCCCCTCCATTAAAAGTTAAGCAGTAGTTAATTCTCGGCTAAAATACAGCCATCTCTAACACTACCTGTAACTAGTCAAAATTGCTTTCAATTTTTTCACGTTGATGGATTTTCTTTAAAGCACAAACCACAAGAGATATGTAAAAATGATAGTGGACTTGCAGTAACCATCATAAAAAGAAGGCATTGCAATCAAATTCTGATAATCTTTTCAAGAAAAATGTATTACTATTCATGCTGTCAATCTCCCAGTTTATACTGTTACCACATCTTTTTCATTTTACTGTGTGAAACAGAAGCATTGGCAGAAATTGCTGCTGGCTGCTCAGCTCAGTCCCTGGGACTCCCTTAGTGCTCCCCCCTGGAACCCCACAGGAAATGCAGTGCTCAGGAGAAGGCAGGGGGAGGCTCACAATAGGTGTTGAGAAAAAACAGGATTTTTCGTAGAAAAGGCAGCATAAAAAAAAGCAGGAGAGTGATGGGGAGGAGGAGAGAGCAGAGAGGGTGTCTGACACCCAGTTAGTAGGAGGGTCTGAGGAACTTGGGTGGAGAGAGCAGAGAGGGGCAGTCACACAGTCAGGAAGATGAGAAGAAACTTGAACACTACATATATGAACTTTATGTAGAAGGCAGTACTGACCCGAGGCCTTAAACCTGTCGGTACCACCCCTCTGTTAGTTGCAAGGCAGCTAAAAAACTGCAACATGGTTTCTATCATGTGATTACAAAACATTAATTGAATTGTTCAGGTATTACTGAATTTAAATAATAACGCAAGATCTTAAATCTACCCAGTAGACCTTTTTTGCGGTCTCACGATCAATATAAACCATATCAACGGTTTATAAATAAAGCAGATTAAATAAAGCATTATTCTGACACATTGCCACCGACAGTTTTGCTCCTCGCCAAACGGAGTTCAAGTTTCTTGCTGTTATTTCCAGGGTATTTGCCATTCCATCCTCCCACTGCATCCGCCTGGACTGCGCCACCTCCACCTCTCCTCCCTGCCTCTCTGCTCAACAATCCACTCAACGTGGCCAAAAAAAGGTCACAGGCCACCAAGTCCCAACATCAAACTCAAGGATTCAATTTAAATATCAGCTTAAATCTACTAAAACAAGGCACAAGAAGCACCCCCGCTGAGGAGCCACAGGTTAGAGGAGCACATTATCCCCCTACGTAAACTCTGTGCATAGAACTGTTAACATTATCAAACTAGAACTGTACAGAAATCAAGGAAAAAAAAAAAGTAAATAAAGAAGTTAGATACTGACATTTTGCCTGGCGTTACCCTTGACCTGTACCCGTTTACCTGGACCTAGACCTTGAGCTCGAATGAGAGGATGAGCGCGATGAAGAGCGGGAGTGGGAAGATCGAGACTTAGAGCGACTGCGCCTATTGGATTTCTTTTTCTTATTAGTGTCCTCTTCCTCACTGGCATCCAGATTGTATTTGGAGAGGTCAGCGTCATCTTCATCCTCATCCTGAAAACACACAGACATACCAAAAATCCCTAAGAAATACTTAGACTGTTTTCTTCAGTGTTTTTGTTTTTTTTTTTTTTAACTTATTCTATGGTTTATTATGTGCTTTTTTCCAACCTTTGAAAATACTCATTAGTGCATTTAATGAGATGCAAAAATGTTAAAGAGTAAAGAATGACTAAAAATTTATTTTAAAGCAAAGTATTAAAAAGTCCACAAAACCCCCATCCAAACTCCCATTTTCTGTTATTTAATGAAAACAATGAAAATACAGACATTCATTCTGATCAGTTGCTTTAAGTGAGTGTCTGGAATTGTTTTGAGACCCAAAATCTATAACCCCAGCATAATCCTGCAGGGACGGGTTTCATGTGCAGGGTTAAAAATAAGAATATAGGCCTGGCCCTGCAGGGCTGGTGTCAAAGATGAGGACCACCACCAATATGTGATGGTCCCGTATTTCAGGAAAAATGAAAAAAAAAAAAAATCTCTGAATATTTTATATCATTGTATAAAAAAATAAATCTGATGTAGTTTTGAAAGGCAAAGTATAAAATGCAAGAATGTTCCCTTTATATGGCAACCATACATAAAGGTTCCAAGTAAAGATCTCAAAATTTTGGATTCTGATCTCAGATAAGCTTCCAATTTTTTTGTGGTTGAAAAAAATTACACATCTTTGAATGCAGGTATTTGGAAAGAGGGAGCTTGTTCATATGCTCTCCAGAGGCTGCAGGCACCGTTACTCTGACAGCTACCCCTCTGCTCCAAAGGCAGCTGAAGCACACACCAAACCTCACCTACTAAACAGCACTGCAGGAATAATGAAAAAATAACTGCTGGAAAAAAACCCCAAACACACTACCTCATCCAATTTATATTTGGAGAGATCTTCATCCTCATCCTCCTCATCTTCCCCTTCAGATTCCTTGTCTTCTACCTCCTTCAGGATAGAGGCAGGACCCACCGGCTTCCCTCTGTACTTCTTCTTTTTGCGCCCAAACTGAGAGATTTCATTCCATTAGAATAGGATTTCATCAGAAGTCATTGCCAACTGCTGTTTTTTTTTTTTTTTTTGAGAAAACTTTGATGAGAAAATAAATACACAGCAAATTCAAATAAGGTATTTCTCAAAGGGAAGGGGAAGTATCATCAATTAGCGACAAGAAACTTTCTAAAGAAATGCTGCTTGTCTTTGTACAATTAGTACCCGCAGACGAGATGAATGGAAATGTGAATTTGCTGGACCTGCACCCGATGTGTCCCTGAGCAGTGCTTCTCCCTGTAAGGCACATTTGGTGTCCTATCCCAAAATCCGTGTGTCCCAGAGTGACACGTGCCCCTGCTCTTACCTCATCGTACTCCCCGTCCGACTCCTCGCGTTCGATGTACTCCACGTTCTCTCGTTCGTTAAATCCTCCTCCGTAGCCTTGAAAAAGAGGCAAAACAAGACAATCTCTTGAGGGGCACCCAACTCGGCCACGTCAAGCGCAGAGATGAGAACAAGCCTTCGCAGAGGCTCTGGAAGCCTTCGGTGTACACACACCTCAGGGAGCAACAGGAATAAAACCATGGAATTGTGAAACTGCCGGGATTTGCCTCGAGAACCTTTCTATTCCTTTTTATCCCGTGAGTGGCAAACTCTAATGGCTCATTTTAACTCCAGCTGACTTTGTAATTTACTGCAAGTGGGTGCAACGTGGCTGCCAATCTACTCCGAAGGACAGCAGAACTTGAAAAATTAATTAAATAGTCAAGATATGTAAATATATGAAACATAATTAAATATAACTCGCTAATATTCTTACACCATTAGACAAGAACATTAAAAGTATTGTTTTTCCTTCTGAATGGTAAGCTCTGGGCTCTTCCCCCTGCTTCTTTTTCACATGCCCTGGTGTTACATGAGGTATCAGGTTCTGATCCCAGGTGCAGCAGTGACAGTACCAGCAGTCAGGGCGCTGTAAGGAAATCCTCTGTTCCAGTTACTGCCAGGCTCATTCCTAATGCAGCACCAACTTGAAATGCGTCACAGTGTGGCCAAACCTCAGACCTCATTAAGAGATAACACTCTAATTTATACAGCCCTCAAAGCCCGCTCTTCTGACTGCCGGGTACTCTCCAGACGGGCTCTATTTATACACCAGACCTTCTGGAGTTTAATAAAGTCTTGTGTTTCTCCTTCCAAACGCCCGAGTATCAAAAACAACAATTAAAGCTGAATATTCCTTGACTTTCCAAATGAAACCATCACGTACTTTACACGCTACTAAATGGAATCAAGTCTAAGAACCTAGAGATTTATATGGAACATCATTCAACTTCACTAGTTCTGCTGTGAAAATGGTCCCTTTAATCAAATTGCATCGGGATTTATAAAAAGAAGTTTTCTTACAGGAGTATTTCAAAACCACGTGCATCTTACCTGTCCTCTCCTCCAATTTCGCGTACTTGGGAGTGTTACACATGTTGCACTCAGATCTCCTGGCCCAGTTCACGTTACCACACCTTCATGGGCGAAAAGAACACAACAGGAAAAAACCAAAGAAACATCTTATTTCAGATCAAAAGAGATCAAAAAGCTTAAGTGTTCAGAAAACTCTTTAAAATAACCATAAAAATGTATCTGGCAAGCCTTGGCAGGGAGCTGCAGAGACAAGTACAGCGCAATTAACCCCAAGGCCAACAAACAGCAAGAGAGTCCGTGGGTGTTCCACCAGCTCGGGGTGACGGAAGACGCCCACGCTGGAGAAATCCAAGGGGGAGAAGTGAAATCACCAGGCAGGGAGGCAGAGGAGTATAACAGAAGCAAAATGACACAGGAAGCCTTGGAACTCCTCACGTCTCTCCATCCGTGGCATTCACAGCTGAGAGGAGCTAAGGAAGCTGTGCCCATGGGAATAAGGCTGGTGAGGCACCATCCTCACCCACCACGCGTGGCTACAGCATTACCCACCCCTCTCGGCATCTCCACCTCACCATCTGCAAAGGCCAGAACCCTGAGAAGTGCTCCACAAAACCCAAAAGCACCTTCCAAAAATCCAAGTGTTTCATTAGAGCATTCCTTTTCTGATTTAGGTCTCAATACTCCCCATTCACGGCCTGGAGAAACACCTTGGAATTTAACTTTGTGCCAAACTCTACTCTTTAAATATTTAGCAAAGGTTCACACTAAGATGTCACATTGCAACGATGGCGTCGCTTCCATCTACGTGCTTCCTCCCAGCTTGAGAAGCGTCTCAGTTTAACAGAAAAACCCTCAAAAACCTTGTTAATTAAGTAGCTGCCGTCCAGTGAACAAAACGGAAGGCTCTCCTCCCAGCAAACCCCTCCCGGGGGAGCAGCCCCGAGCTCCCATCTCCTCTCCCCTCAGCTCAGGTGAGTTTACAGTGACACAAGGACTGCAGACGGGCTGCCTGGCTCTGAGGGCACGCTGTGTTGTTGAGAAGGACATACGTTTTACACTGCCAGTCGTTGGCACTGAAGAGGCCACGACTCTTCTCGGCAAGGGTCTTCCCTATTTCAGTCCCTCCGGCTTTCATCATTTTGGCTTCGGTGGTTTTTTCTGGAAGAGAAAAGGAAACGAAGGGTTCTCAAACACCTTGCTTTACGGTTTATTCATTAAGAAGGTTTAACGCGCTTTTAAAAAGGCAGAAAAGGACGAGGAGAAAAAGACGTGTCACCTCGGGCACTCACCTCTCCCACATCTGTTGCAGCTGGTTCTTCTAGCAAAGTTAACATTCCCACATCTGCAAATAGAAAGAGAAGGCGGACGCTCGTTAGCGGGACGGCGGGGAAACCTGAGATCTGAAGAAAAACGCCTTTCATTTCAAACGGAATTCGTTCCGAATTACAACACGAAGTTTCTGGGGCAGTGCCCGGCCCCGGGGCGGGCCGGTGCCGGGCCGGCAGCACGACGGGGGCCGGGCGCGGCGAGACCCTCCAGAGAAGCCAAGCCCGGCCCGGCCCGGCGACCCCCCGGGACCC